GGAGGGAGGGAGGGAGGGAAAGAAGGGAAAGAAGGGAAAGAAAGAAAAAGTTGGGTTTGCATTGTGAGGTTTTCATTGCTTTGTTAATGTTTTTACTTTTTCCCCTTATACTTTGTTCTTTTCACTGTGGTGAAAGATTAGGATAATTTAACTCATTGGGAAAGATGGGAATGTAGGTTATTTAATGTTCTATATGAGTTTATTAAAAACCTGAGTCAAAATAAAAGAAAGGGTTATTGAACAAATTTCTCACCAATATATTTTTAAATTACTTTGTTTTGCGCTGTGCATGTTTATCAAAGCCACGCTGCTGCTCATAACGGCTTCTACGTGAAGAACCTCTTAATTGGTTGATACATTCTGACATTGTAAGGGATCTTTGGAAGGCAGCTTAGACAATAGAAGGAATAATAACAGAATGGAAATTAGAAGAATTTTCAATATTTTGAACAGTTACTTCTAGGTAGTTGTTCATGAATTGATGTCTGCCTGCCTGTTCTGTTCTATTTCCACTTAGTGTACAAATGGCTTCCCAGTGCATCATAGTCTAATGGAAACAGACTTTCTGGTCACCTGTCTACTGTGACAGATAGCCTTAGTGAAGATTACCTGTCACAGTTGGGCTGATAAATGTGTTTTCTGGTGTTGTGACAGAGAACAAGGCTGTTAAACAACAGCTGTGGGAATTTGTTTCCTGTAAAACTCAATTACTAAAGTGAAGTCATAGAGCTTCGTCAGCCCCAGCTGACTTTGTTGCATATATGTAAAATTGAGAATGGACGACTCTCTGAAGTAGCAACATGCAGTGTTAGGTCCACTGCCACAAAGGAATGAATTTTGACCACAACTAGCCTATTCCGGTGATTTGGCAGTGATTTTTATTATGCTGAGTTGGGTTACAAATAAAAACTCATTCTTCAAGATTGGCATCACCAACAAGATGAGGCAGCTTTGATTCTTAACATGTGTCAAGAATCATTGCTGTGCTGTTGTCTCTGTGGTGGCTTGTGTTGTCCTCGGCGATGCTGTGTTGCTCCTCTCTGACTGGCCAGAATTGTGAGCCACACTTGAGCTTCGAGTAAGTCTTGATGGTGACACCTGGACTGATTTAAGTTTAAAATTTGGGGTCTTTCTTTATCCATTGCCATAATAAACTAAGATTTTAAAATTCACAAACAATAAAAACAAACTGTTGTTTCCAGACTTCATATCTTTACAACTATAATAAAATTTTTCTGTTTTCCAAAATGTTAGCGATAGAGTTAAAAATAAATAAATTTATAAATGAAACAGTAATGTTTTAAAGTAGAATTTAAATTTATTAGCATTTTATAATATCATGCATACCTACCATTTGGGTAAATGTCTTTTTTTTTTTTTTAAACCATGCACTATATTCTAGGATGGTGACGAATCATCTCCGATTTTAACAAGTTTTGAGTTAGTGAAAGTTCCTGATCCTCAAATGTCTATGGTAAGCTGTTGTATAAAGCTTTTCAGAACATATTTTTCTCTAGAGGGAACATACTTACACCCATGTAATGCTTTTTAAAATACTAATACATACACCTCAACTATCCAGACACGAGTTGTAGTAAGTGTACTTTAGATATTTGGAATCAGCTTCAATGGGATATTTATAAGGGAAACTGACATCCTAAAAGTAAGGTCTGACTAATGCAGGAGTGGGCAGCCACTTAATTAAATTGTGGAGAGCTGGGGAATGGAGCTGCTGAGTAAATGTTAGCATGGTAGGTCACTGTCCCAGTTTGCTTTTTCTATGAAAACTCAGAACCAGTAGCAACTTGGGAAAATAAATTTATTCAGCTTACAGGTTATAGTCCAGTTTCAAGAAAGCTAAGGCAGGAACTAGACACAGGAACTGAAGTAGAGACCATGAAGGAGCGCTCTTGCTTTGAACCACCCAGAACTAGCTGCCCAGGAGTGAGACTACGCAGTGTCACACTTCCTACACCCATCATTAATTAAGACAGTGTCCCACAGGCTTCCCTACAGGCCAGTCTTACAGAGACATTTTCTCAACTGAGGTTGCTCTTCCCAGATGGCAGGTGCTTGTGTCAGAATGACAAAACCAACCATCACAGTCATGGAAAGGTCATAATATAGAAGATGAACTGACTAAAGTAAGATCAGTAAATGTACATTTTCTCAGGATCAACTCTATCATCAGATTGTTGCAGCTACCAGATCTATGAGACAAAGGTTCATGCAGAGAATTGTTAAGGGCAAAGACAGTGGATTCAGAATTAGTGCAGAGACAAAAATTAGTAAAAAATGTATTTTTAATGAACTAAAAACCAAAGTTATCTTTTCCTTATCCATATACCTATAAGTAAATTTCAGTGGCTCCACAGATAGCATTAATAGTAAGGTTGATGATTTCGGCCCTGTGTAAAGCAGTCAGCAGCAGATGAGCACTTGCCAGCAGCAGGATCATGCTCTCGGTTGTGCAGTAATGTCACAGGTCTTGCGGGGCTGATAGCCTTTGTCTGATGTGGTAGATGATACTGTTGTGAACATGGTGAAACGTGCCAGAGGATGCAAGGATTGTGGGTGAGTGGCAGACTTAGGAAGTGGAGTGCTGGGTGCACATTCCACTGCTATAGCTTCACTCAGACGCAGTCTCATAGTCTCGTAGTGGGTCCACCGGACTGAAGTGGCCTGAGAGTCTTAACATGGCCGACATCTTAGAACGGCTTTAAGGAAGGACTTTGTTGTTTCTGACTACTGAAGCTTCCCTTTTGTAAAGTTTATGTTCTCTATACCTAAATAATTTATAGGAGAATCTAGTGGAGAGCAAACACCACAAGCTTGCTCGGAGTTTAAGAAGTGGACCATCTGACCACGATCTCAAGCCCAACGCTGCCACTCGAGATCAGCTAAATGTAAGAGAACTTAAGGACTGTGCAAAAAAAAAACTGAGTGTAGATTTTACTGCAGCCAGTATTACACATTATTTCAAAGTTTGATGAATTATGTAACTGTGATTGCAACAGTTTCATGTTGTGTACAGAATGTTTTTTCTTTACATCATTTCTGGACTTTTAGTAATTCTGTCTCTGTGGAGATAGAACTAGAAAATTGTAAGTAATTTCACAGTTTAGTGTTCTTAGATTGAGCCCTGAAGTGTTCCTTAAGAAGGCTGGCATGTGAGCACTCAGAATTATGTGTTGATTTGCCAAGAATTGGGCTCGTTTTGTTTCTCTTGCTGTTATGGTGAAGGACGTCAGGCTTTGGCTTCCGCAGTAGCTAGTTAAGTAAGCTCTGAAGTCATATGTTCATGTGGAGTGTGACTGTCTCACTCTTCCTTGTATGTCCTAATGGCTTGCTTTTTGGATGGATGCCTCAGCTCTTTTTTGCCTCATTTGGCTTGTGTGCCTTCTCCTGGCTTGTATGTAATTATGTTATAGAAATATTAAGTAAATGAAAAAAACTAAATGAAATGGAAATACATATTAAATGTATGTTTGATAAATATAGTTCTTTTTCTTTTGTTTTAGATTATTGTGAGTTATCCACCAACCAAGCAGCTCACATATGAAGAACAAGATCTTGTTTGGAAATTTAGATATTATCTTACTAATCAAGAAAAAGTGAGTTTCTTAAATAGCTTATGTATCTGTCAAATTTACCTCAGACATTTTTACTAATGATCAAGGGAAAGTAAAACTACACTAAAAATGGAGCTATGGTCAATCAAACATCCCGCACAGCAGTATGCTTGCTACACTGTTGAAAAAATAGTACAAGGTGTAAAAACAGAGATGTATTCTTGTTTGTAACCTCCTAGAAAATGTCTGAATGAATTTTGAAGGTGGATTTGGGTTCAGCTTCTGCCTCTGCCATTTGTATACAAAGGATAGGGAGGCATACCTGCTATCTTCTTGTTCTAATGGAAAGTGTCCATCATAGAGGAGGATAGCATATGCAGGGTCAGTCCTGACTCCTTTCTTTCGTACCCCCTTTGCCTCTTCATTCCTGTGTGATTAGGGATGCAGTTACATTGATTAAAAACCTTGTGAAGTCTGGGGACACTAGGGATAGAGGAAGAATATAAGTAGTATAACTTATAATGTGGAAATTGCATTGGTAGAGTGTCAGGCAGCTCGCTGGCAGGATGAAGGTGGGAACTGGACATTTTGTAAGGAAATTGGAGGGCTGGGGCTCCTGCACGGAGAGTTGTGATGAATTGTCAGGACTAGCCTGTAGTGTGAAGACCTCTTGTTATGTCTGAACTGTTACCACAGAGCAGCTTTTTAACTGCAGGCCAAGTATTTGATGGATTGAAGCTTTAGTTTTCTGTACTTAATATGGGATAATTCCATGATAATGAATTTTTCAGTTCTTAAAGTATTCTATTTTAGGTTGAGGTCCAAAGATTAAATTTTATAAAAAAAAATAGATTTGTTTATTTTATTTTATTTTATTTTATTTTATTTTATTTTATTTTATTTATATGATCATTGGACCTACACAAATGTATGTGCAGTCTGTGCGTTCTTAAACAACTGATGAAATGTTAGGGACCTTTAAATCCACAGCAAACCAACTATGCCTCATTCCAGAGCTACACAGGTAGGCATGCTGCTTCTTGAGATGCTTGTGTTTAGGATTTAGAAGGGAAAGGCCCACTGAAGATAGAGAATAGAACATAGACGATTTACAGCAGGGTTTCTGAGGACATTGGAGTCAGAAAACAGAAGTGTTAGGAAAGCTTTGCAACAGGAAACTCATCTCTTGCTGAAGAATGAGCCAGTGTGTTGCAGTCTCATGACATGCTCTACTTGGTTTTGTTTTCCTAAAGTAAAAGTAAAAATGTATTAGGTACCATCTTAAGCTCCTGAGCTTTTCCTGTTTCATTTGTTGATGGCTTGGGAAACCCTTTGTGGATGAGTTTTAATTGTCATCCTTTATATCTATGAAAAGGGAAGGAGGATCTATGTTACTCCATCTTCGAGTGTTTGATCTTCCTCCTCAGCAGCACAGGGCTGGTGATTTTGTATTCTGTAGAGCATGAATTAGTTCCACCATGCTGTGCTAAGTGAGGAGTCCTGGGGTCACAGAAACTATGGTTTGAATGCTGCAGTCATGTAATCTGCATGGCAAGGTGGCAAATTTAATGTGAGGATACAAAGCAGCAAAGCGTAGGGCAGCTTTACAAAGGACTTTCTTAAATGGAAAGGTTCGTAAGATAAATCCTTTGTTTTATCTTAGTAGTCACTCCTCACTGAATTCAGTCACTTCTAGATGTGAGTAAAAGAAATACAGGGCCCGAGTGATGTGAAATGTGTGTCGTGTTGCAGGTTGTCTGCAAAGCTGCTGCTGAAGCCGTAGTTCTCAGACAGGAAGGACCTTAGGTCACTGGCATGGAGTAAATAGTATTTTTAATGTTCAGCAAGGGCTGTTGAACAAACCAGTGCAAACTGGCCTTGAAGTGGCCTGAGTCGTCGTTGCCCAGTGCCTGTGGATCCCATGCTGGTGCAGATATCTGTGTAGAGCATACATGCTCCTGTGCCTAGCCCTCAATGACACACAGGCATTCTTTCGCTCTGATTCTCACATAGGGATAGGGTTGGTTGGCATTTTGGCTTCAGGAGAATTTCTCATTTCTGATCTCAGGAGGGCTCTAAAAATAATTTGGTGGAAATTAGTTGGTAGGAAATGACACATTTTATGATTTTCATTAAATTTGTTCTTCTTTTCTTTCCCCAAATGATCTGTCTGAAGAGTGTTGGATGAGTAGCAAGTTTACAGAAGTAACTTTGTTTGCTAAGAACATTTATATTTATGAAATATACTTAAATTTTTTGGTTTACATTAGGTAAGACATGACTCATTTGTGTAGAGTCCAAAATTTTAAGTCTTGTGATTTTCCAAGCTAGCTTTTATGATGCACTTTCTTCAAAAATTGTTAATTACTCATAAATGTTGGGCACTGAGAATGCCCAGTGGGTACACATGCTTGCCACCAAGCTTGATAACCTGAGATTAATCCCTAGGGTCCACATGCTAGAAAGATAGAGCCAGCTCCTGAAAGCTGTCCTCTAATCCACACGCACACACACTCTCTCTCTCACAAACACATACACACATTCATACAAGCACATACACACACATAGTCACACACACTACTCTCACACGAAGGCATACATGTACATATATTTTGAAAAGTTATTAATTTCTTGTTCTTTGATTTAATCTGGGGGAAAGCAGTAGGGAGATCCTGTCTCAGTGATGATAATAAATATGTGCTTATTAGTTTTAGAAGATAGTGTTTGACACAGTGGCATCAGGGCAGAAATTATCTTTGTGTTGCCTAACTAGTTGATATTGAACCAGAAAAGAATTGAATATAGCTTAGATTTATTATCTCCCTTTGGCATCACTACCCTTAAGGTATCACATTCCTGCTTACCTACATTAAAAATGTCTTAGACAAAGAATGTTGACATCTATTCCAGAAGGATATTTTTGTAAATATGTAGGTAATTACTGTAATAAAGTGTCTTGCAGTGTACCAAGGTAGATACCAATTTTGAGTGGACTCGGTTGGCTGCTTATCAGTTTTCATTGTAAGCAGGAGCTTAGGTTCAGGCAGGACAGTGCTATGGAAAGCACGTTTGGAAAGGAGATGTATGAGATTGTTTCAGCCTAGATTTCTACCTGTAGGAACTGGATTTCCCTGGCAGTAAATATGGCTTAACCTGTGGTGCTTTAGGGAAGAGGAGCTCAGGTACATTGGAGGAAAGCTGAAAATTAAAAAGAGATGTGATTGGGAGACCTAGGAGACCCAACCACTTACTGATGGAGCAATGATAGGGTAAAGAGAGATGGCAGGAGAATGATCAAATGAGCTGGTTTGAGGCCGTTACGTGTGGTTAGTGCTGACAATCAGAAAAGAAAATGTAACCCGAAGAGCAGAATGAGGTTTGTTTGGGTTTTTTGTTTTGTTTTGTTGTTGATTTGTTTTGTGTGTGTGTGTTGATTGTTTTCAAGTAAAAATATTGAAACAGTAGCAAAGTAGAAATTTGTTGTAGGGATTGAGTAGAACTTCAAGAATGAAGTACATGTGACAGATGCTCTAGGAGGGTGGTTTTCAGAGTGGTAGATAATGCCAAGGGGCTCAGCTCTGAAGAGAGTTAAAAAACACTTATTGTCAATTATATAAAATCGGCCAGCAAGTGTGTCAACAGTAGAGTCAGTTAGTAGAGTAAGCATGAAGTTACTCATGATGATTAATAGGAAATTATCATTAAGTGTAGCTCTAAATGTTTTCCTTGCACACATACTAGGTTTCCTCTTCTCCGTAGCTGGTGACATAGGCCTTTTGTTATGTGTATTTGTTTTATTGAAAATTTATATATTATCACTTTCTCTCCCCTATCCCGTCTCGGATCCTTTCCTCCTCCCTACCCATACAACACCAGGCTTTCTTTCTGTTTCTTTAAAAAACAAACAGGTAAATAAAGGAAACAAACCAGAATTAAAAACAAAAACAGCTAAAACCCATAAAAAACACAAACATAGGAAACCATTATATACAAGCAAAGGACCAGTAAGATTAAAATATCTCCAAACAAAACAATATGAAACAAGCAAACAAAAACTAGTCTACAAAAACACTATTCATTTGTTTTGTTTTGGCATCAATTTATTGCAGGGCATTAGGCCTATCCTTAAGTGTGGTTTATATACCCAGTTAGACAACTTTAGAGAAAACTGGCTTTTCCTTTGTAAGATGTTGTCAGTTGGAGATAGCTTCTTGGTTAGGAATGGAATCCTGTCTACTTCCCCTGTCAATACTGGGACTCCCATCTGGCCTGAACCTGTGCAGGTTCTGAGCATGCTGCCACAGTCTCTGAGCTCATGTCAGGCCTGTTCTGTTTAGAAGCCACTGTTTCCTTGGTGTTATCCATCCCCTCTGACAATGTTTCTTTCTCCTCTTCCACATAACTCCCTGAACCCTAAGAATGGGGTTTGATGAAGACAGCCCCATTTAGGACTGAGTATTTCAAAGGCTCTCACTCTCTTCACATTGTCTAAATGTGGGTCTCTGTATCAGTTCCCAGGCTACTGCAAGAGGAAGCTTCTCTGATGAAGCTGAGAGAGATACTGATCTATGAGTATGACTGAGTGTTATTAGGAGTCACTTTGTTGCTATGTTTCTTTAGCAGGACAACAGTATTTACTTTCCCCCCAGACCCATGACCTATGTAGTTTCAGGCTCTTGGTGACCCAAGCACTGTCAGGCATGTGTTGCATCTCATGGAGTGAACGTTAAATCTAAACAGATAGCGATATTTTACCTCCACAGCTTTGTGTCACAATTGAACCAGTATATCGTGCAGGTATGTCACCATTGTAGACCACAGGGTTTGCAGCTGGGCTGGTATTTTACCTTTCTTTTCCAGTAGTATGCAAGTACCTTCTGCCCCATGAATATCAGTCAGTAGGGTTGAAGTCTCTACTTATGCACAAGCTTGAGCTCTCTGTGTTCATTGAGATTACGTAAGTGTTGTCTTCAACCATAGGGCTTTGCCTCCAGTTTCTGGAGAAGAACCAAGACTTAGCAAGTGCCTGAGTTGTTTGGTGTTTTCTATGGGTTTCTTTGACTCTACTAGATGTAACCCATCCTTTTTTTTTTTTTTTTCTTTACTTTATTTAATCACTTTACAGCCTGATCTCAACACTCTCCCTCCTCCCCTCCTAGTTCCACCACACATCCTTCTCATTCTTCTCTAAGACGGGGAGACCCTCCCCCCGCCCCGGGTACCAGCCCACTCTGGGACATCAAGTCGCAGCAGGACTAAGGACATTCTCTCCCACAGAGGCCAGATAAGGCAGCCCAGCTTGGGGAAAGGGATCCAAAGGCAAGCAACAAAGTCAGAAAGGGCCCCTGCTCCAATTGTTAGGAAACCCACATGATGTCCAAGCTGCACATCTGCTACATATATGTACAGGGGCTAGGTCCAGTCCATGCATGCTTTTTGGTTGTTGGTTCAGTCTCTGTGAGACCCCATGGAGCTCTACTCTTTAGTTCTTTTTGTGGTGACTTTAACTCTTCCACCATCCTTCCTTACACTCTTCCTCAAAACACCCTGAGCTTGGCCTCTTGTATGGCTGTGGTTTTCTGCATCTGTTTCCATCAGCTGCTGGATGAAGCCTCTGAGAAGACAGTTATGCTAGGGTCCTTTCTGTAAGCATAGAAGATTATCAGTAATAGTAACAGGGGTTGGCTCTCTCCCTTGGGGTAGGTGTCAGGTTGGGCTAGTCTTTGATCTGCCATTCCTTCGATCTCTGCTTCATCTTTATCCCTACATTTCTTATAGGCAAGACAAATTTTGGGTCAAAGGTGGTGGCTTGGTGTCCACCTCCCTCCCCTGGAAGCAGATGTGGCCACTTCAGGCTCCATATCCCCTGCTGCTAGGAATCTCAGCTAGGATCATCCCCCATAGACGCCTGGGAGCCTCCTGATTTCAGAGATGCCCCTCACCCCAACTGATTTCTTTTTTTTCCTGTCCTCTGCTACTTTCCCCTTCCCACATCTGATTAACAACCCCCATTCCCTTCCCAAACCTCTCTCCCACCCAGTTCCCTCCCTCCATCTACTTCAACTGTCTATTTTAGTTCTTCTTCTAAGTGAGAGTCAAGCACCCTTCCTAGGGCCTTCCTTGTTACCTAGCTTCTTTGGGTCTGTGGATTGTAGCATGGCTGATGTCCACTTACAAATGAATACATATGTTGTATGTTTTTCTGGGTCTGGGTTACCCCGCTCAGGATGATCTTTTCTACAAGTTCTATCCATTGGCCTGCAAATTGCATAATGTCTTTGTTTTTAATAGCTGAGTAGTATTCCATTGTGCAAATGTACCACATTTTCTTTTTTCTTCAGTTGAGGGACATCTGAATTATTTCAAGTTTTTGGCTATTACATAAATCTGCTATGAACACAGTTGAGCAAGTGTCCTTGTGATATGGTGGAACATCTTTTGTGTATATGTCAATGAGTGGTATAGCTCGGTTTTGAGGTAGAACTAATTTCCAGTTTTCTGAAGAAGTGCCAGATTGGTTTCCAAAGTTGTTGTACAGGTTTGCACTCCCACCAGTAATGGAAGAGTTTTCCCCTTTCTCTGCATCCTTGTCAGCATGTGCTGTCACTTGAGTTTTAGATCTTAGCCTTTCTGAAGGGTGTAAGATGGAATCTCAGAGTTGTTTTGATTTATGTTTCCCTGATGACTAAGTATGTTGAACATTTCTTTAAGTGATTCTCAACCATTTGAGATTCCTCTATTTAGAATTCTGTTTCGCTCTGTATCCCATTTTTTTTAATATTGGGTTATTTGGCTTGTTGGTATTTTAATTTCTTGAGTTCTTTATAGAGCTTTAATATCCAAAATATATAAAGAACTCAAGATATAACCCATTCTTGGCACTGGAAGTTTCACTTGTTGTTGAAAGTTGAGGCATTGTCTCTTCGATTATTTGCTGACATCATTTAGATTTTTTTCATTTACATGCACACACATACATACACACATACTTACATACATTTGTGTGTGTGGATGTGGGTATATATAATTCATTCCAGTTTTCCTGCTGTTTCTCCGTAATTATATATTCTATTGCCCCTTCATTGAATGATACTTTCTTCCCACTTAGCCCCTTACTCTATACCCAGCTTCTGTGGTTATATGGATTGTAGCATACCTATCAGAGGCTTAAAGGAGAATAGGAGAATACACACTACATTTGTCTTTTGGGGTCTGAGTTAGAATCTCCCCATTCATCTGTATATTTCATGAGTTTTAAATAGCTAAATAAAACTCTTACTATATAAATGTAGCACATTTTCCTTATCCATTCATCTGCTGTTGGATAGCTAGGCAGTTTCCACTTCCTGGCTACTATGAAGAAAAGAGCAATAAACATAGATGAACAGGTGTCTCAGTAGTAGGATGTCAAATCCTTTGGGTATATACCCAAGAGTGGTATAAGTGGATTTTGATGTAGAGCTATTCCCAGGTTTCTGAGCGACCACAGTACTGTTTCCATAGTGGCTGTACAAGTTTGCACTCCCATCAGCAATGGATATTCATTGAGTGCAAATAACAAATAGAAAGAAGTTATCTGAATTATTTTTTTGTGTCTGTTTGTTTTTTTCTTTAGAGTCATTGTTTCTTTTAGCTCTCTGTCAATGTGCTGACTATTTGGGAAATTAGTCATTAGAATAAGTATTGTTTGTGTCTCTTCCCAGCATGGCTGTCATAGGATCAATTACTCCTAATTTGTGTTAAGATCATGTTCCACTTTTGAACTTTTAAGAGTTTGTTTGAAACAATGAAAAGGAAAAGTTGTTCAGACTTCAGATGTATGACATTACAAGGATGAGGCTAAAGTGACATTCAGGAAGAATTGCTAGTGGTTGGGAATGGACTTAGAAATGCAGTGTTGGGGTCCAGTAATGACTTCGGGATTAGGGAGGGTTCAACTAAGTACAGAATGAGATTGTTTGCATGGTGAGGAGGCCTCTGAGTTTCGTCTCCTGGGTCTGGCTGATTTCAGTTTTTAAATTTATTGAGTTTATATGTGATTTAAGGAATGAGCTAATACTCTGTCTCCATACTGCTTTTTATGTCTGTGTATCTGTGTGTGCATGTGCCTGCGTGTACTCATTGGAGTGGGGGTTGAGTATGCATGTACAGGTCAGAGGTCCAAGTCAGGTGTCTTCTTTGGTTGCTTTCCACCTTATTTTTTGAGAGAAGGTGTCTCGGTGAACCTAGAATTTACTGATTCGGCTAGACTAGCCGTTGAGCCACAGGGACCCTTCTGTCTCCACCTCTCATACTAAGTCCCTCCTGTAGGCACTTCTGGAAGAATTGAGTCTAGTTTTGTTGTAAAAGGTTTTTAAAGGAATAGAGCTGTCTTTCTTTAGGGGCCAATTTGCAAATGACAAATTTGTAACAATCAAAAGAGCCTCTCATTCTGCCTGGAGTGCTGCCAGGAGACTTGATAGCACAGTTTCCTGTGAAGAAATCAGGAGTGTGCTTTTCTGAAGTTTGTATTGTTTGTGCTGTCAGGAATGCCCTCCACCAGGCCTCCATGTGCAAACTTGAAGATATGACATAGCCAGAGAAGTAAGCTTCTAGAAAGACGCTGCTATCTGCCACACAGGTTATTTGTGGCTGGCTCTGTACCTAGCTTTCTTGGTGTTTGGTTTTTGAGTGTTTGGCTTTGTTTATTTTATTTGCATGTCTCTTTAAGAGGCTGCTTCTTGGGGCTGGAGAGATGGCTTTGTGAGTAAGAGTACTGTCTGTCCTTCCAGAGGTCCTGAGTTCAATTCCCAGCAATGACATGGTGGCTCACAACCATCTATAATGTGATCTGGTGGCCTGTTCTGGCATGCAGGTGTACATGCAGATAGAGCACTGAAATACATAAAATGAATAAATAAATCTTTAAAAAAGAAGAAGATGCTTCTCCGATATCCTGGTTTGTGTTTCATCTTTATTTGAGATTGTATAACAAAGCTAAGGAGCCAAACTTGACCAAATGCTCAGTGAGGCCAACTGTGGGACTTTCACCATAACTTGTATGTGATTTCTTGTGATACTGTTGATATTGTAATGGTAAGATTGTTTCTCAAGCGTATTAATGTTTATGGGATTTGCCTATTTCCTTGTTTTGAGCTTTTTGTAGTTTTTAAAACTACAAAAACAAGCTTAAAAATTTTATTGTGCTCTGCAGTGTTTTTTATCCTGGAAGATCTAGAGTACAGAGAAGGTGCTTTCTGTTGTTTTCTGTCCTGCAGTGCTGTCCTAGGACCAGGACCCATGTGTTGTACAAATTCTCCTGTCAAGACCCAGCAAACCTCTGCCTTTATCAGAGGTCTCCGTTCACCTGTCAATAGGATATGGTTCCTGACTGTCAAATCTTCCCTGATTGTAGGCTTTGACAAAGTTCTTGAAGTGTGTTAACTGGGACCTACCTCAGGAGGCCAAGCAGGCCCTGGAACTTCTGGGGAGGTGGAAGCCGATGGATGTCGAAGACTCCCTGGAGCTGCTGTCCTCACATTACAGCAACCCCACAGTGAGGCGGTACGCTGTGGCCCGCCTGCGGCAGGCCGATGACGAGGTAGGTCCTGTCCATCACCTCTGCGCGGCTACCTGACAGGCACATTGAACGTGTAATCAGTGTGAGATTAGTCAGTAGCTACAGACGCTTTCATGTGTGTGCTTTGCAAGAGACAAGAAGAGAGTTTCTAAGGGAACATATATACGCTCAACCTTCCTAATGTTGCGGCCATTAATACAGTTCCTCATGTTGTGCTGACCCCAACCGTTTAAAAAATGTTTTTTGTTTGTTTGAGACAGGTTTCTCTGTGTAGTCTTGGCTATCCTGGTCTCACTTTGTAGACCATGCTGGCCTTGAACTCACAGCAACCTTCCTGCCTCTGCCTCCCTGAGTGCTGGGCATAAAAAGATTTTTGTTGCTGCTTCATGATTGTAATTTTGCTACTGTTATGACTTGTAATGTAAATATTTAATATGCAGTATGTCTGATATGTAACCCCTGTGAAAAGCCCATTCAACCCCTGAGGGGTTCCCACAGGTTGAGAACCATAGATAGATAGATAGATAGATAGATAGATAGATAGATAGATAGATAGATAGATA